ACATACTTCGCTCGAAACATCGATACAGGAATCATGTATTTTCCAAATGCATTGGAAACTATCATGATAATGTTATCTACATCTCATTAACATACACTGCTGACTCAGCATCAGGGAAATCAATGAACTACTTTCATGAAGTTCAAATCCATTTTTATTGACAATTGTCAGTCTCATTGATAAGACAAAGACTATGTAAGCCCTGTGGTATATATCTATATATATATACATGTCATGAAATTGACATGAAATAGACATGAAATAGACATGAAATAGACATGAAACAGATAACCCGACATTCCACAATGACAGCTGATAAATGTACATGATACTGACACCATTATTGATCGACGACAAGTATATTATGTCTCGGTTTAACATGTTTAGATGTTTACATTGCTGAATAATATACACGTATATGAAATGTATTGAATCTTATTCATTTCCGCATTAATTGAAAAATGGTTAATTCACAGAAATGAATCTAGAATTTGATTTAATAATTGGGGCAAGTGAGTTAAAACAATCCACATTCATCAGGAGGAAAATCATTTAGAGGTCGAGAATTTGTTACAGGACTTAAGGGACAGTTATGGGGATTTAACTGGGTGCAACTATTTTTCGAGTCCAAGGGACTCCTGGTAATAGAAAAAGAAATTTTGAGGGAGAGCAAGGCCTAAACAAGGGGCTGCCAAGGTGGCGACTATTGGCACACTTCATTTGACTTTCAAGAATTTACATGAATTTTGTCACTGCACATGACCAGAAGTCTTCTACCTATTCTGGATAGGAATTCAAAGAACTATTGCAGAAAATCGACCACTGACACTTCCAACTTTGTGTGTATTTCTCACCAGAATATAAGTGTCAGTGATACATGTTATATGCAACATTCAATGTCAAATTTGGGTAATATCAATGATTCAAACAGCCATACGTTTTTTTTGCATTCCACAGGACTTGTAATGTACAAGTTTTTAGACCATTCTTAATTTGTATGTGTATAAGACTCATTATTCTTGTCTGGTACCCTACATCCATAATTGGCAGTCTGTGCCCCAAACCCTGGAGTCTACTGGCCAGAACATCACTGTTTACATCATTTTCAGTAGATTTTGTGTTATTAGATATACAATATTATTAGCTGTGCTTACTAGGCCGAACAGTTTTACGACATGCAGGCTTCAGTACAGTGGCAAAAGAAAACCAGAATAATCAGAGAAAACACAAAATGTAGATGAAAGTTCCACGGAACATGCTGAAGTAAACATGAATACCTTGTAATCTACATTTCTAAAAATGAATGAAAACAAAACAAAAAGACTGTTTGAATCATTAAAAAAACAATATGGCTGCAGTTCTGCTAATTAACCGTCAAATTGATCAATAATTCCTTGTCACGGAGAATTATGCCAACTTGATACTGAAGCACACCTGTTGCTGATAGAAACTACCCACAATGCAGTATTGATGCACAGGTGTGGGACAATATTCGGGTTCGTTCTCGACTCAATGAAGCAACACATCGGTCTAAAAATAGGAGAGGAAGAATGTGTTGACTGTACACCATGAAATGTTTTACATACAGAGTAGAGAAGTTAGGTTTAAAACAATAGACACAATCTATACAACAAAACACTGACAGGAAGACGTGTCCAAAATATTAGAGCATGTATGGTATGTGGAAGGGAGCTTAATACATGTATACAATACATGCTGTTGTTTGTTGTTTATGTTGCATTCAGCAATATTACAGCTATATGACGGTGGTCTGTAAATAATCGAGTTTGGACCAGACAATTCAGTGATTGAAATCATGAGCATTGATACATGCAATTGGGATCGATGACATATTTTCAGATATTTTGTCCCAGCTCTTTTTTCATTCTCAAACTTATTTCAGTAATCATTTAAACAATCTAAAACATTTTTTTAAAAACAAGCAAGTCAAACGATATTAGTTTAGAGACTATATCTTGTCATTGAAAAGAAAAACTTTTTCTTTCATTTTTTGTATTGTAGCCCACAATAGATTTAAGAGATCACTAATAAGTGAACATGCTTCTACAAGTTTACTTCTATTTTGAACACTTTGGAAATATTTTTTGTAAAACATTTTAGCTGCCAAATTAGTGATGCTTTGTATAGCAGTAATGCTCACTCATTTACAAAGAGGTTCTTGTAGCAAGGACAAAGTTCTAACAGCAATTATTATCCTGCAGTTACAACACTATGAATAAGGAATATTAAAACAAGCACATAAATTGAGACAAGTTTTCAAATTTGAACCAGGGTAATCATGGCGTATGTCGCAATACATTATTATACAATACATATCACTGATAATATAGTTTCCCATTTCCTCATATTGCAACATTATACAGAGGTCCAACCCTACACTGTATGTTCAAAACTAAGCATGAAAGTCTAGGGGTCCTTGTCAAGACCCTAATGGTAACCTTAGGGGGTCCATCAATTCAAATTCAATAGCTAAACTCCACAACATAAGGACCCCTTAATGTCTTACACTGTACACTAACTCATTGCATAGTCTTTCAATCAATGTCGTTTTCACCATTGGACCTATTAGTACCGAGTCCTCTTAGATATTGATCAGTTTCAATGAGCTGGTGTGTTTGTTTACAGAAATGTTGCAGCATACTTCCTCCACTTCACTCTCACATTTCATCACCCACATGCCATCATGTACATGCATGTAAAGTATTTTGAACTTTTACTTCTAAGTAAGCAATGACACAAATAGAATCATATGCGTAATGTGAGCCCGTTAGATGTAGAGCCGGAACAAGAAGATGTAGCACAATTGAGGCTGCAATGAAATCCTGTTTGTCATGACCCCTCTAATCTTGGACACACTTAGGTGATTAATGTTACTGTTAGGTAAATAAAACATAATCCAGATATTATAATTCCCCTCCCAATTATTTGGGACTAATCTAAGCGAAAATGCAGTGTTTGACACTGCCGTGATATTGCTGGAATATTGCTAAAAAAACATATCCACTCCCTCACTGGCTCACCTGGATTAAGCGAGTTTCAAGAGGGTCATAATAACATAATTATGATATTTTTATTAAAAGAAGATAAAATTCTGAGGCTGAAGGCATGTTATTTTTCATAAATAATTTGAGTGAGGTGCATGCACATGTGTGTGCATGTGTGTGACTCCCTGTACTAGTCCGGACTGATGCCGATTTATAGTGATAGCCCACTGAGATACCATGCCGCAGTTTAACATGAACATCCCACTCAGACACAGTATACTGACTCCAACCAACCAGTCCTTGTCTCAGCCCCTTAATGCTGAGCACCAGACAGGTTAACAACAAGTACAATCTTTTAACGTCTTTTGGTATGACGCGGCCGGGGATCGAACCCCGCACCTTGCGGGGTAGGGGGTGGAGGGTGTCAGCGAGACACATGGTGATGCAAATGAAATAATTGATTTATTATGTCTGAATTCTAACAGCAATCAATATATTTCATTTTGAGATTATGTATAAGAGATTAATGACATGCAAAGACTTAATTATGTATTTCTAAACATCATATGGGTACAATGACGTAATGAGTTGAAGACAAACAGACTGATTTGGCAGAAAGAGGAGGAAATGATATTGACATAATAATCACTTCCCTATTTCATAACCGGTTGTCAGTATGACTACATAGAAATCAAAACCAAACTTCCATAAATAACTCATACATGTCTAAAGGGAAAATGATTCTTCCTTCCTTTGTGAATACATTTTTGAAAAGGTGTCATGAATATATAGTTTTTCACTTCCCATTAGATGTATTGATACAATATTCAAAAATATATTGTACCTATCCATGAATACGCTGGTCTCGCAAGGGCAGATATATTCATTATTTTAAAGAAAATAGCTCATACTTGTAATGAACAGCTTCTAAAAACCTTAGGTCATAACGGTAACAGAAAATGTAAAGCTTTAAAAGACATCTTCACATATTATCAAAAGGGTCATAATTATTCAAATTTCATCATCTTGTATTTTTTTTCAGAGCCTGGTTGTAAAGAATTAATATGACTTGAATCATTGTTAATCCTTATTTCAAGAATGTCATACAAATGTCTTCTTCATTATACAACCCAAAATTAGGGTTGACATAACTTGTGTCCATTTCTTCCAATTAAAGTCTAACGGCAACAACCTGCCCGTGTTCTGGGTAGCATTTGTTAAGACTCTAATAAGAGTTCAATAATTCAGCATAATCCAGATTAGTTATATAAGCTTATGATAAATGAATGAATGGAATTTGAATGTTGAATTGTTAATAAACAGTGGCATTCTTGGAAACTCAACGGACACAAAGACCATTCATTGGTGGTGGCAGGTGTGTTGCCCATAACTTGACCATTACCATTTAACCTATTGTTGGGGATTAAATCACATAAAAACAACTTTAAAGTTCAGTGTGCGTATCATAAAGTTTCTGCACTCAACTATTCATCGCACTAATTCCACATCTATCGAGGAAAGAAAATAATATACCACGAGTGGAAAGATGAAAGCCCAGGTAGATGATCCAAATGGCAGTTTGACGGGCTCTTAGCAGTCACTTCAAGTTGACCACGCTGAGAAAGGACACGCCCCTTTCCGAGTAAATGACCCGTCTTCACAGGGTCGTGTTTTCTCAAGCGAAAATTCCTACCCGTCGCCATTATCGAGCGAAGCGACTAGGATCAAACACGGTAAACTCGGGATTGCATACACTAAATGGAAACTCAAAAACCATAAAACCTTGAACAGCTTTCGCAAACGCCACATGGTCCGTTTGTTTACGAATGTTCGGCGCGGTCCCACAGGCTGCAAAGTTGGGAACTTTCGCTCACCACCTGTCAAATTCATATTGAATTTACACGAAATCGAATCCATTTTTAAACATGAAATTCGCTACACATACTCGTCTAAGAAGTTTACATCGGGCATGCATTCTGAAAACTAAAATCTCACCTTTGTTTTTGTTCTAGTAAGTCGTTTTTGTGCCTTAGCTAATATTCCGCCTTTACTGTTTTCAGCCATGTTGCTTATTGACTCTGACACTTGTGTCGAGGCTTCTCATTGGCTGAAAATCGAGATGCTGTCAAATTGCGTTTAAGGATGAGAGCCAGGTAATCGCAATCCACACATGCCATGGGGTATGTATATGTCATGGCCTGTCATTGGACCTCACCTTTTACACGTATGACTTCTCATATATACATTTCATTGATGCGCTGGCCAGGCATACCTTCTTGTCATCTAAATTACAGGATGACACGGAGAGACATTTGGAATTATATCTGTAGCGTGTGCGCATCCCTTAACATGGATGTGTCAGGCATGCCTAATATCATGTGAATTATAAGCTGAATCTTTTTTATGAAATAATATTAGACCTACAACCGTTATGTAATTGATATTATTAGTTTGTTTGTTGTCATCTTAGCAAGTCTGTGTTAAGGTATGGGTGCTACGCTTACTATGGGGAACGGGACCCTGGACCAGACAATCCAGTGACTGACATCATGAGCATCGGTCTTCTTAGCCGCCTCTTATGACACGCATAGGTTGCTGAAGACCCGGGTCGAATCATCAGGGGTTATGTATTTGAAGATATATCGATTGATATCAGGATAGATGGGACAAAACGCCAGTTATTAAAAATAGAGAATCTCACCCGAGTGTCCTTTGATATCAAATATATCAACACGAGTTGATAAAGGTGGGAAAACTCCGAGGCTTGCCGAGGATTTTTTTCCACTTTTATCAACGAGTGTTGATATATTTTATATCAAAAGACACGAGGGTGAGATTTTATTTATCATCCAACATCATTCTTCCAACTTTTTCAGTTTGTAGAAAGTAATAAGCAGTGTCAAGTACTGCTAACAGATTCAGTAGCAGAGCCATTAGTGATGTCATTTGATTGTGACGTCATGGTAACCAATGACGCCACAATGGTCTGCAAAGCATTGTGATGCAATTTCATTGCAGCGATATCTACAGTATAGATATCGCTTGATCTCACCAAAGCGATATCTCCTGTGGGAGCCAGTTTTGGATGATAAATAACGTTTAACGACGCAAGATTATCATCTTCATAAATTTGCACCAGTTCTTTATGTATAGACAAGTACACTAACACCGTTCTGTGGGTATTCGGCGTCAGCATAAGAGCCGACAGTGACTTTCTTTTCATGCTGGTTGTAAAAGCCGACTAAATGGGAATCGAGTGGTTAGGCTCTGTGACTGATTGTGTGTCAACCTACACCGTTGACATTGCTCATGCATTCGTTCACTGGTTTGCCTGGTCCGGACGCAATTATTTACGCCGCGGTCAAGGTGGAATAATGTTGTATTATTGCACAGGAAGCCTTTTTGGCATTGAAAACCGTCTCGAGAAGGTAATTATGTTCACATGTCGACAACGATACTGTGTTGACGTAATTGTGTAATGACGTCACAATAGATGGTGACGTCATTACACAATTACGTCAACAATGACGACTTAATACGCCAACAAATGCTGTCAGTAATAAATCACCAATGGTGTCTGCATGTCAACAATGATGTAAGGTGAAATCATTATTACACGAGTGACTCACAAGAATATTTTAGTAATCCGCTTGTTCTGAACCATATGGACAGAGGGAACCACGTATTCTGTCATCGCGAATTTTTATGAGCTCTTCTTGGAATTGTTATTGCGTCATTTACAATAAAAATATAACCAGTGAAGAAAAATGCACGTTTCTGAGCTAAACCTTAAGGCAAAGAAAGATTTGACCAAGACATTACAAATGTTATCAAATGTTATTACAAACGTCATTTGGCTAAAATCAGTCGCCGAAACACTGCAAATTTGAGGTCCTAAACACAACTATATGATACCCGTATCAAATATCTCACCATCGAATAGAAAAATCTTGTTTGTTTCATTTTAGCCACCATGAAACATGGGTGTATAGTTTTATTTGTCCAGCAGTATATTTGATATTGTCACTCATTCTCAGGGAACTGACATTTTATGTGTTTGTAAAGTCATCCTATATTATATTCTATGACGCTGCTATTTGTAATTCAGTGACCCCCATGGATGTTTACTTTTTTTCCCCGGCAGTATAATTACGTCGTCATTTTCCAGCTTCATCAACATGTATGATTTCACAGGATAAAAAGATACAACATGCAAGCACGAAAGCGTTTATTTATTTGTGCTCGAAGGGTCCCTTTAACACTCCCATACATCACGAAATCGCCAATATCGAGTCCTCACATAAGGTTCCAAAACTGAGCATCAATTACAATATACATCGCTACGCACATGGCTCGTTGCGTCATCGGCGATCACCAATCTGTTATATTCTCCAGCACATGTTTATTGCCAATGACAATTTCCGTCGGCACAAATTCTTAATATTCAAGCAATGAACATGGAAATATCGTATTACTAATTTACAAGATACGAAACACAGGGGAGATGCTCGAGCCTTATTACCTGGAAATACTGTACCTAGCAGCGTTAGAGCTATTAATGTCATCACATACTCTCTACTCGATTGCCGCTTAATCAAATTTCCCTGGCTATATTGATTGCGCCGACAATAGCTACAGCATTAACATGATCGTTTTAGTATCACAGGCATGGTAGGCCTTCTACATGTATGGGTATTTCTACGCATGATCATTCACAGGTTTTGTGTGTGGATACCGCAAATTATATAGTATTCGTGTGACGTATAAATAAGGAACACCAATATTTCCTATCATATTTCCATGGTTGCAATGCATAATGAAAGTTTACTCTTAGTCGAGAAGACTTGATGTTCTATCAATATAAATCTCTTTAATGGCCGACGTAGCTGTAAATTTGACGGTGTGACGTTAAATGTTGTTTAACTCACTCGTTGGTGGAAGAACTGTTGAGAATCAACGGTCTATATATATATACCGTTACATATCTGGGATTTCGTATTTTCTATTCATAGAAAAGGTTCATTCGCAGATTACAAGCTTATCGATGCAGAAACGACTTTAAATCTAAAACTTGCCTTTGTTAAATTAATGTTGATAGTTGATAGTGATATACTGATACCTGCTTTTACTAAACATGCTAAATTAATTATTTCAGATATCGGAATTTGTATTCACGTTGAAACGACGCATGCAGCTGGAATCGTATACGCTAATGTGTCTGCTACCTGTATACAACAGTGCATCATTTAAACCGATGGTGATAGATGTTCAGTGAAAATGTTATTACGGTCTTGTGATCGACACATTATACATACATTACATTAATCAGTTACTGGGACCCTTCATTACATTGATATTGATCTTTGTCATGAGTAGAGTTTAGACATTATATGGATTTCGATTTGGGCAGATATAAAATATTTCACATTTTGAAACGCAGCGTGCAATGGGACCTCATAATGACGTCATAATCATTTCTAGTGACAAAATCTGTCTGTGTTTGTCAATTTTGTACCACAACTTCAAAATTGGTATCCATCAGTTAAGATAATAATGCATTAGTTACTAATGAAATGACACATTAATAGGGCCCGTTTACCAAAGCGATAGCTCAAAGGCCTTCGCAAGTCTATATATTTCAGGGAGACACTGAAAACGTGGCACGATAACGAATTTGGCATTATATATAGTGGAAAAGTAGTAAGGCATGGAATCTCAACTGGCTTAAATTCATATTTGAAAAGATGACCGGTAATCCAATTGCAAAGAGTCATGCATGCGCTATAATGGTTGGTTGTACTTTAACGCCGCACTCAGCAATATTCCAGCTATATGACGGCGGTCTGTAAATAGTCGAGTCTGGACCAGACAATCCAGTGATTGACATAATGAGCATCGATCTATGCAATTGGGATACGATGACATGCAAGTCAGCGAGCCTGACCACCCGATCCCGTTAGTCGCCTCTTACGACAAGCATAGTCGCCTGCATGCACTGTGAACAATGTATTCGCTCTCTCTCCTCTCTCTCTCTCTCTCTCTCTCTCTCTCTCTCTCTCTCCCTCTCTCCCCCTCTCTCTCTCTCTCTCCTCTCTCTCTCTCTCTCTCCTCTCTCTCTCTCTCACTCTCTCTTTCTCTCTCTCTCTCTCGGTCTCTCTCTCTCTCTTTCTCTCTCTCTCTCTCTCTCACTCTCTCCCTCTCTCTCTCACTCTCTCCTCTCTCTCTCTCTCTCTCTATCTCTCTCTCTCTCTCTCTCTCTCTCTCTCTCTCTGAATGGGCAACCATGATGATAAGACAAATGCGCTACAACGTCGATTACAATGGAAGGAAGATGCGATAATAACCGGACAGTGATGAATAGGTGGGAGGCTCGACCCACTTAACACTGGGCCCTCACTTGGCGACACGCCAATCCAGGAGTCACGACTCGTATAAGCTCAAGAATGTAGACAATGTTTACTCAGATAATATGTACATATTCAACGATATATTGTGTCCATATTCTGTCTCCACACACGGCTGCGTTTTGACGTCGTAATGATACTGTTCGGTAACGTTATCTTGTTGTTAAGGTTGAATTTAATGCATACGTGTGATTTTAAGAGTACATCTTTTATGCCGTTAAGGATTAGTTCTCAGCAAGTAGTGGGTTTAACAGTGCAATTTACATTGCAAAAATGTGACTGACATTCATGAGTATTAATACCTGAATCTAGAATTACTTGAAATACCACATTACTATTGATAGAGAATAGGTGAGGTGAGGTGAAATTGGGTTTAACGTCGCGTCCAAGATTATTGCACTTATACGTGTGTGTGTGTGTGTGTGTGTGTGTGTGTGTGTGTGTGTGTGTGTGTGGCTGCTTGTACAAGTCAGGTGAGGTGAAATTGGGTTTAACGTCGCGTCCAAGATTATTGCACTTATATAGCGACGTGCATGCACGTGTGTGTGTGTGTGTGTGTGTGTGTGGCTGCTTGTACTAGTCCGGACTGATGCCGATTTATTGTGCTAGCCAACTGAGATACAATGCCGCAGTTTAACATGAATACCCAATTCAGACAGAGTATACTGA